GTGCAGCACTCTGCAGGTCCCTGCCACTGCCAAAGGCACCATGAGCCCTTTACTCACCAGCTTCTCACTGTAGTAGCCAGGGAGGTACTTCTCACAGATCTGCACCAGGCACCAGAACGCTTGCTGCAAGCCAAGGGACAGCAGTGAGCAGCCAGGGGACATCCCTGCGGCCCCTCCCTGCTCCCAGGGACCACAGGGGAGGGCGAGAGGAGGCAGAGCACCCCGGGGTGCTTTGAGGTGCCAGGAGCTGAGCACCCCCCAGAGGGACCCCCGCCCTCGTGCCCGTACCTCGGCTGGCATGTGCATGAGCAGGACAGCGGCGATGGGCGCCTGGGCCTGGCAATATCCCTCCTCCGGGCGGTACAGCGTGTACGCCTTCAGCACCCGGAACAGGTCCTGCTGCCTGTGGAGACACCCCGGGCACGGGGAGCTGGGCACAGGGCACGGATGTGGCCCAGCAGCCTTCCCCATGGATCCCAGGCACGAGCCTGGCTCAGTCCCTGGCTGGGATCCCTTTTGCATGCAAACCCAGGGCAATGGAACACAACAACCAGGGTGGTACTCTGGGAAGCTCTGCCCACAGAGGCTACACCTGCCCTGGATCCAAGAGTCAACCATCTCCCAGGGATGCTGGCTCATGGTGAGCCATGGATGGGAAACTACCCAGCTGCAAGCACGGAGGCACAGACGCTCCCAGACACACTAGGAACAGCATTTTCCTGGTGAAACAGAGGCCACAGCGGGTTACCTCCTCCCTTTGCCCTCCTGCTGTGGCAATTCCCACCTCACCAGGTGTCAGAACCAGTGCCAAGGGTTGTGCCCCACACAGGGAGCTCCTGGGAAGCCACCCTGTTTTCAGGCCATGCCTGGATGCTCTGTGACTCTGGATGTGTAAGGACTGTGGGGTGACAGGGGGACACAGGGGGCATGAGTGTGGCTGCATGAGCTGGGGCAGACACTGCCCACCCCGTGGCTGAAAAGGACTGGACACACAGGAGCTCCACGTACCCATGGCCTCCGCGTGAGACGAACATCTCATGGAAGGGGAACTGCCGGTGGAGATCCCGCTCGATCACATCCAGCCACTTGGGCTCTCCTGTGAGGAGATCCAGTTCCTGGGGAGGAGAGGATTGGGATGAGCAACACCCCTGGCACTCCCCCGAGATGTCTGGGATCCCAACAGAGACCCCAGCCACGGAGGGAGCAGGAGCCACCCCAGCACTGTCCTGCTCCCTGGTGGTGCAGGAGGGTCCCCGGCAAGGACTCACATCAAACTTGCCCATGTTCTGCTCCAACTTAACCTTGCTCCCAGAGAGGTACTGCCAGGCACGGCCCCGCAGCGAGGGCGGGATCCCCTTCTGGCACCGCAGGCGGATCTGCGGGAAGAGACACAGCCATCACGGGAAAATCATGGAGCAGCGGGAAACAAAGAGGCTCCTGGGGCAAGATGGGAGCCAGGCCAGCACCATGGCCACAGGCTGGACCCCTGCTGCTTCCCGAACAAGGGGATGAGTCCTTCCATCCCTGGGACGAAGGGATGCCAGCTGGGATGGCAGCCAGGGCTGCACCAGCATGGGGGAACAGGAGCCTGGCCGAGGCTTTGTGGCTTGGAAACAGCTCCAAACAAGCCTGGCTCTGCCTCAAAGCCAGATCCTGCTGGGAGCTGGAAAAGCAAACACTGGAGCTAAGGTGGGGAATGGGTGGCTCCCTCCACATGGGAACCACTGGGGATACAGGGGAGGCTCTCCAGCCCCCATCCAGCCTCCCACTCCCCACGGGGCCACAGAGAGCAGGGATGTGTGCCCTGCTGTGCCTCAGCCGTTCCACCCGCTCATCCCAGGCAGAAGGGCAGGTCTGGCCCCAGCTCTGCACACAGACAGCTCCTGAGGCCCCAGGGCCAGCTCTGTGCCCAGTCATCCCAAGTTTCCTTGGCACTGGGCACCAGGCACGACCAAAGTCCAGGCGAGGCAGCTGGTACCTCTGTGGGGAGCTGAGCTGGCTTAACCCTGCCGTGCCTGCACCCCAGTGGGGCCAAACCAGAGCTTCCAACATCCCACTCC